CCAGCTAGGATGGATGTGGATGCTGTTATAGATACTAGTCCTCTGGAAACCGGCTGCCTGTGAGGATGGCGTGCGTCTCAGTGCGTTCCAGCACAGACCTCACTCTGAGCAGCGAACACTGAAGACTGGTGCGGTCCAGGGATGTCAAAGGTTCCTGCATGTGTTGATATCCTGCTGGCTTGTAATCAGTGGCGTCGCTAGGGGGGGCCAGAGGGGGCCACGGCCCCCACTACATCATGCTGGCCATGTGCTTAAATTCTATTCCCTTTGGACTGTAACAGTCTGTTACAGCCCGAGGGAATGCAGTGCTGGGTGCTGTCTGTGGAGAGATGCTGGGGCACTGACCGGCTCTCCGGCACAGCCTCCACCCCCAAACAAAGATCTGCCTCCCGCACATAAGGCCCACCCCCACCATTAAGCAGCAGACATTGCTGCTGCTGGAAAGGCCAGAAGATGGCTGTCTGACCGCCCAGCAACAGCCTCCAGTGACAGGTAGGCTTGATATGCTTGTGTGTGTGTCTGCTAGTGAGGAAGCTTGTGTGTGTCTGTGTGTGAGTATGGACTGTTTTTCTGCAGTTAGTTACATAGTTACATAGTTACATAGCTGAAAAGAGACTTGCGTCCATCAAGTTCAGCCTTCCTCACAAATGTTGTTGCTGTTGATCCAAAAGAAGGCAAAAAACCTGGTCTGCAGCACTTCCAATTTTGCCACAAACTAGGAAAAAATTCCTTCTTGACCCCAAAATAGCAGTCAGATGTCTCCTTGGATCAAGCAGCTATTACCCCACTAATTAGAAATTATATCCCTGTATGTTATGTTTTTGTAAGTATTTATCCAATTTCAGTTTAAACATCTGTATGGACTCTGACAAAACCACCTCGTCAGGCAGATAATTCCATATCCTTATTGTTCTTACTGTAAAAAAACCTTTTCTTTGCCTTAGATGAAATCTCATTTCTTCCAGCATAAATGTGTGACCTTGTGTCCTATGTATAACCCTGTTTATGAATAGATTTCCAGATAAAGGTTTGTACTGGCCCCGAATGTATTTGTATAAAGTAATCATATCCCCTCTCAGGCGCCGTTTTTCCAAACTAAACAGATTAAATTTTTTTAACCTTTATTCATAACTAAAATGCTCCATTCCTTTTATCAATTTTGTAGCTCGTCTCTGGACCCTCTCCAGTGCCATGATATCCTTCTTTAGAACAGGTGCCCAAAATTGCACAGCATATTCAAGGTGTGGTTTTACCAGCGATTTACAAAGAGGCAAAATTATATTTTCATCCCGAGAATTTATGCCTCTATTTATACATGACAAAATCTACTCGCCTTAGCAACTGCAGATTGACATTGCATATTGCTGCCTAATTTGTTGTCTATAACAATTCCCAAATCCTTCTCGTGTGTGGCTATCCCTAATTCACTACCATTTAGTGTGTAAGTTGCTTGTGCATTCTTAACCCCGAAGTGCATAACTTTGCATTTCTCTATGTTAAATTTAATCTGCCATTTTAGTGCTCAGTCCCCCAATCTATCCAAATCTCTCTGCAGCAAAGCAATATCCTGCTCACATTTTATTACTTTACAAAGTTTTGTGTCATCTGCAAACACTGATACATGGCTTTCAATGCCTATTTCAAGATCATTTGTAAATATGTTAAATAGAAGTGGTCCCAAAACAGAACCCTGAGGGACACCACTTACCACTTTTGTCCAGCCTGAAAATTTACCATTAATTACAACTCGTTGTACTCTGTCCTTAAGCCAATGTTCTACCCAAGAACAGGAATATTCATCTAGACCAATTTATTTTAGTTTGAAGACTAACCTATTGTGAGGAACCGTATCAAATGCCTTGGCAAAGTCCAAGTAGATCACATCCACTGCAACACCCTGATCTATACTTCTACTTACTTCTTCGTAGAATGCAATTAGGTTAGTTTGACATGACCTATGTTTCATAAAACCATGCTGATTATTGCTAATAAAGTTCTTCCCAATGAATTCCTGAATATTATCCCTTAATAGCCCTTCAAATATTTTCCCAGTTACAGAAGTCAAGCTCACAGGTCTATAATTTCCAGGCAAGGATTTTGAACCCTTTTTAAATATAGGAACAACATATGCCTTCCTCCAATCCTCCGGTACAACACCTGAAACAAAAGAATCTTGAAAAATTAAATACAGAGGTTCACTTATTTCCCCACTTAGCTCCTTAAGTACTCATGGGTGAATACCGTCAGGCCCCGGAGCTTTATTTACATTAATTTTCTTTAATAGCTGTAGCACCTTGTCTCGAGTTATCCAATCACAAGTTATTTGCAAGTTTTTTGCAGCAAACATTTGCATATCTCTTGCCATAGGATCCTCATTAATATATACTGAAGAAAAATAGTTATTTAAAATTTCTGCTTTTTCCTGGTCTTCATTAGCTAATAAACCCAACTCTGTTTCAAGTGTACCTACACTTTCATTTTTTGTTTTTTTAGAATTGATGTACTTGAAAAAAATTTTGGGGTTGGTTTTGCTTTCTTTAGCTATCAATTTCTCATTTTCTAGTTTAGCCACTTTAATTGCCTTTTTGCAAGTGTTATTGGCTTCCTTATATCTTAAATAGCATGACTTTGATTTTTCTGATTTAAATGCTTTAAATGCCCTTTTCTTATTTTTAATCTCTTGTTTTACTTCTCTACTAAGCCACATTGGTTTTAATTTGTTTCTTTTATATTTATTACCCAATGGTACATACTGAGAAATGTACCTTTCTAATATATGTTTGAATAGTTTCCATTTATCCTCAGTGTTTTTATCACTAAGGAGTTTATGCCAGTCGATATGTTGTAGAGCTGCCCTAATCTTATTGAAATTGGCTTTTTTAAAATTATATGTTTTAGTATACCCCACCTGCTTTTGCTTTTTTGAGTTTATTTCAAAATTTACCATATTGTGATCACTATTCCCCAAATGCTCCCCTACTTGAATGTTGGTTAAGAGATCAACATTGTTTGTTATGACAAGATCCAGACAAGCATCCTTTCTAGTTGGTGCTTGTACCAGTTGTGACATAAAGGTGTCATTTAACACATTCAAAAACCTGATTCCCCTTGCTGAAGTACTAGTCCCTCTTTCCCAATTTATGTCTGGATAATTAAAATATCCAATAATTAACGTGTTACCTCGATTTGCAGCTTTCTCAATTTGCTCTAACAGCTGTTCTTCCTCATTAATATTTACATTAGGTGGTTTATAACATATCCCAACCAATAATTGATTTCCATTTGTTTGCCCCAAGCAGATATCTACCCATACAGCCTACACCTTTTCCTCGTCACACTCCACATGCCTAAGATTTGACTTTAACTCATGGTTGACATATAAACATACCCCACCACCCTTCTTGTTTTTCCTATCCTTCCTAAATAACGTGTACCCATTTAAATTAACTGCCCAGTCATGTGTCTCATCCCACCATGTTTCTGTTATGCCTATTATATCATATTGTTTATTGTATGCTATTGCCTCTAGTTCCCCCATTTTGTTATATAGGCTCCTTGCATTAGTAAGCATACATTTAATATTATCATGAGTCTTTTGTACTTTTTGTGAATTATCAATAATACATACCTCCTCTGTTCTGAGTTTTTCCCTCCCCCCATCTCCACCCCCTTTGTTCTGAGCTAAAGCCCATCTCCTTTCCATCCTATCTCTATTTTCTAGATTGCTTTGACCCTCCCCCCCACCACTAGTTTAAAATATCCTCCAACCTTCTAGCCATCCTATCCCCCAGCAATCCATCATGACTATACAGGTTGTACCCAAACGCAAAATCGGCCCAGTGCTCTAAAAACCCAAAACCCTCTTTCCTGCACCAAGACTTTAGCCACGCATTGACCTCTCTAATCTCCCGCTACCTTTCTGCTGTAGCGCACGGCACAGGTAATATTTCTGAAAAAATTACCTTGGAGGTCCTTTTCTTAAGCTTACTTCCTAGTTCCCTGAACTCATTCTTTAGGACCTTCCATTTTCCTCTGACTTTGTCATTGGTACCAATATGGACCATGACAGCTGGGTCATCTCCAGCCCCTCCCAATAATCCCTCCACTCTGTCGGCAACTAGCTTCCTAGTTCTAATGGCTATCCCACCATCCTTATGGTGCTTGATCACTTTTCCAAGATGGCTCATTTTGTTCCACTCAAAAAATTGCCATCCTCTCAAGACCTGGTTCTTATTTTTATACGGGAAATTTTCCTACTACATGGCATTCCTCACAATATTGTATCTGACAGAGGTTCTTAGTTTGTGTCTCGGTTTCGGAGGGCTTTCAATAAACAGTTGGGCATTGAATTGTCATTTTCTTCCACTTACCATCCCCAAACCAATGGCACGGCTGAGAGGGCTAACCAGTCATTAGAATTGTATTTGCGTCGTTTTGTTAATAGCACTCAAGATAATTGGTCCGAATTACTACCCTGAGCCGAGTTTGCTAGGAAGAATGCTAACCATGAGTCTTCTGGACATAGCCCATTCTTTGTTAATAACGGTCGTCATCCTACCGTTCTGCCGGCTGTTTTCTCTGACACAGCTATCCCTGCTTTGGATGATCACCTTGCTTCTATTCATTATACTTGGACCAAGTTCACTCCGCTCTCAAAACTGCGGCTGATCATTTCAAATGTTATGCAGATAAGCAGTGGGGTGCCAACCCTGTTTACCAAGTGGGTGAGAGGGTGTGGTTTTCATCACGCAACATCAAACTGAAAGTTCCTAGCATGAAATGTGCCCCCAGATTCCTTGGTCCATTTCGTATCCTTTGAAAAATTAATCATGTTTCATATTCTCTGGCTCTCCCTGCTTCCTTACGTATTCCTAATACCTTTCACGTTTCTTTGCTAAAGCCACTCATTTGCAATAAATATACAGTCTCAAGTGTTCCCCCTCCCCCATTGGTTGTTTCTGGACAGCAGGAGTATGAAGTCTCTTCCATAATCAATTCCAGGTTTTGTCGTAATTCCTTACAGTATTTGGTTGATTGGAGGGCAATGGGCCTGCCGAACGTTCTTGGGTTCCGGCTTCCGATATTGATGCTGGTTGCAAGATTCGTTATTTCCACGACACCACTGGGGGGCAGTGGGGGGTTATGTCAAATGTTCCTTGTGGTGTCTCTGGGGATAACTACCTTTCGGGCATTGGTGGAGATGCTGGTCAGCAGCCCTGTGCCGTGGTTTCTGACTCCTGCGGCATACTGAGGAACGCCGGCCGCTGCGGACCCAAGCCAATTTGTAGCTCCACGTCCACCCATGGTGTTAACGACATCAAAGTGCGTATGACGTCACGTTGGGGACGAGCGCGCACGTTCTGGGGTTAGAGGCCGGGTGCGGCCAATCGGAGTTAAAGGAGACGTATTTAAACTCCTTTCTTGCCTTTTCTTATTGCCCTGTCGTGGTTTCCCTTAGTGGTTGTCCGAGAGTGTGTCCCTGAGCGTTTATTTCTGGTAACTGACTTTTGGCTTCGTTTGACTTCCCTGTATTCTGGTATCCTTGACTTTTGGCTTTCCCTCATCGTTTTGTCTCATTCTGTGTCCCGACCTCAGCAAGTATTCTGACTATTCTCTGGTAGGTTAAGTCCGGCCATTCTAAGGCCCAGTAAGACGTTACTTTTAGTCTTAGATGTTATACAGTTCTGCGTACTGGATCTACTAGTATCCTGACAGTTTTAGTGAGAAAGAGAATAAGTATTTTTTTAACTAGGATAACAAATAAGAAAAAAGGATTCTTTTACTGTGGTGATTGTATGGGATGTAAAATGAAATGGAATAAAGAAAGGAAGATTGCGACTTTCCACTCAGTAACAAACAAATGTTTTATTAATTAATTTATTACTTGTTTAAAATGATATTTTTAGTGTATTTTCTTGAATGCCCTTGTGGCTTCCAATATGTCGCCAAAACCTCTAGGCCCTTAAAATCAGGATACGAGAAGATATATTAAAGGGACACTACAGGTCCCTCAGGTTTTAACCCTTCAGATGCAAACATCAGAGAAACTGCTATGTTTACATTTGGGATTAAGCCATCAATCACGCAGAGCGTCCATAGAAAAGCATTGAAAAATGCTTTCCTACGGACACTTTGAATGCGCGCGCAGCAGTGCCGCGCATGCGCACTAGGCTCCTGTGACGTTGGACGAGGATGCTGACATCGGCGGGGGAGGAGAGGTAAGGGAGCCCGGCGCTGGAATTATGTGCGCTACTGAAGGGGTTTTTCAGCGCCACGGGAGGGGGACCCTGGGGACACCCTCAGGGTACTATAGTGGTACTATAGTGGGGCATTGGAGAGGGAACAATATATGATCCATTCTCAGTAATGAAACGCATTTGGAATGCATATAAAAGATCTCCTATACACGGACAAATGTAACATGATGTAACAAAACAAGACGGCGGACGCACCATACGACGCATGCGTACACAAACGTTTGGACATCTTCTTGAAGAAACCTAGGCAATTACCACCATACTATTTCCCTTAACTGCCTTTTGCCCTGGGGCAGAAGAAAAATTAAAGAAGCATTGGTGTTGTTGAGGCATTCTGTGACGGCCTACTGGTTGGTTTGCTTGGAGAGGAACTTAGCTGCAGTGCAGACACAACCTCCCCAGGTGCCTGAGAGTGATATGGGAACCTGGGAAATCTAGGATAGCATGAGTGTCTTTATTTACATATGAAGCAATGGAGCCAGAAAGGAGCAGACAGGAAGCTGTGTCAGGCGGTCCTATGGTCAGGACAGTCAGCAAAAGGAGTCAGGAGTCAAGCTGAAGGTCAAAATCCACAAGCAGGGTGCCAGAGGCCAAAGGTCAGGGTCAAGTCCAGAGGTCAGAAGCCGAGAAGTTTAACCGGGGAATCAGGAGCCAGGATCAGGAACAAGAACAGGGATCAGGACAACAGGCAAACACCAGAATCACCAAGCACTGACCAAATGCTGTGCTTGACTATTTATATATAGAGAGGTCATGTGACCAGCCCTCACCACCTGCAGACAGAGGCCCCAGAGACTGTAAAGGAAGGGATGAGACCAGGCGCCATCTTGACTATTCCTCGGTCCCTCTCCTCTGTCTCTCTAATCCCTCTTTCCCCCGACCCTTCCCAATCCTCCCCGAATGCCATGTGGACGTTCATTGCAGAAGCGGCAACTTAGTGGAGGCTGGCAGACATCGAAGTGCCATGCACGCACCCCGGGATAGGTAAGCGTAGGCTGTGACAGAGCCCTCTCCAAAGGCACAAATTCAGGGAGTGGTCTAGGATTGGCCAACCAGGAAAATCTACGATGGGAAGCTTTATTTTGACAGGAGCATGAACATTCCTAGTCAGCTACCAAGATCGCTCCTCTTGGCCACAACATTTCAAATGGATTAAATAAGACTTCTGGAGTCAAGGATCTCTGTTACTTTCATACTCTCTGTCAGCAACTGGTGGAGTAAGAGCAATATTACGATGGGGAAAGTAGTTAGTTTTCCAGGGCTTGAGAAGGGATACATGGAACACTGGATAGACCTGATACAAGGCTGGAAGAATGTACTACAACATGATTGATAACCTTGGTTTCTCAGAGGGCTGTATGTAGCTGGGTCCTAGTTTCTTTGAGGGACAGGACAAATGCATAATCTGTGTTGAAAACCAGTCCTTGGCTCCTGGCTCATAGCTAGGAGCCAGAGATCTCTTAGTATCAGCATGCCTCTTTTAGCATTGTTGTGCAGCTAACAGTGTAACAGGCATCGTTGTTCTCTGAGCTTATTTAATCTTTGGGCTAAATCAGGTACAGTCATAGGGCATGGTAGATCTGGAAATCCAGCGAGATGTTAACCATAGTTTGCAAAGAATGAAGTACACTTACCTAGAGTGGTGCATGTTGTTGTTATATGAGAACTCTGCAGAGAGTAGAAACAGTCAATCATCTTGTAAGTAGGTGGTAAAACAATGGAGGTACTGTTCTAATATTTGGTTTGTCTGTTGTTTGTCCATTCATCTGTGGGTGACATGCTGTAGATAGATATGAAGTGAGTTGAGAGTAAGGTGATTGCAGTGCATACCTTAACATAATCATTCAGCTAGGTGTGTGGTTTCAAAGCAAATATCAGTTCACAGGCAATGATGAAAGTTCTTATATCAGACCTTTACCAGTAAATTTGTGTGCCATTGGGAGAACAGGTTCTGTGATGCTAGGTGGCATAGAAGGAGGAGCTGTTGTAGGTGGAGAAGCAGGTAATGGTGGGGATTTAGCCCTCTGCTGCTCACGTAGAAGAAGTGTAGCTTGACTGGATTGTAGTTCCTGAACTGATTGGGTCAGTGCAGCCACTTGTTGAGTGAGTACAGATATAGTCTCTCTAGTTCCTGCAAGTTCCATAGTGTAATGCTAGGCTGTTATGGGGCAGCCTACAAGTTGGTTTGCTTGGAGAGGAACTCAGCTGCAGTAGAACAGCAACTCTCTTGCAGACACTACCTTCCCAGGTGCCTGAGAGTGATATGGGAATCTATGAGCTCGCGAGTGCTTTTATGAACAAATTAAGCATGAAAGGATCAGACTGGAAGCAGTGTCAGGTGGTCAGATGGTAAGGGTAGGCAGCAAAGGAGCAAAGTCAGGAGCCAAGAAGTTTTTTCAGGGAATTAGGAGCCAGGAATCCGATAATGAACAAAAACCAAGATCAGGAACAAGAACTAGGATCATGTGACCAACCTCCACTTCCTGCAGACAGAGCCCCCAAGGGCATGTTCCCCAGCTTAGTTATTCTGCAGTCTCTCCCCTCTGCTTAGCTAATGCCTCCTTCACCAGGTCCTCCCTGAACACTGTGCGCATGTTCACGAGGTGGCCACCATCTTACTGTGGCGACATCTAAGCAGAGGCTGATGGACATTGAAGCAAGGAGGGACAGAGGAAGTAGCGGCCACCCAAGCCCTCTGTGTACTGCCTCCAGGACACAGCGGGAAACCCGGGACAGGTAAGTATCGGGACAGGTAGTAAATGCCTTGCAACTTGAATTGCAATTTGAATTGCAAGGCATTCACTAGGGCTTTTGCTATTATTTACTCAGTTGTCCATTTTGATCCTGTTTTGTTGCTGTTAATAGTTGCCTACTTTTTTGTATATACAATTAGCTTGTTCCTGACTAAGCTATTTATCTGAATCCTTTATGTTATTTTCTTTATAGTACTGAGTTTACGTGTTTCTACAACCTGTCAATCAATACCTTTCTATAGTGATGGGAACAAGTATTTGATCCCCTGATGATTTTGAACGTTTGTCCACTGACAAAGAAATCACTAGTCTATAGTTTTAATGGTAGGTGTATTTTAACAGTGAGAGACAGAATAACAACAACAACTACAACAAAATCCAGAAAAAACATGTCAAAAAAGTTATAAAGTGATTTGCATGTCAATGAGTGAAATAAGTATTTGATCCCCTATCAATCAGCAAGATTTCTGGTTCCCATGTGTCTTTTATACAGGTAACGAGCTGAGATCTCCTAATCTCAGCTTGTTACCTGTATTAAAGATACCTGTCCACACAAGCAATCAATCAGATTCCAAACTCTCCACCATGGCCAAGACCAACGAGCTGTCCAAGGATGTCAGGGACAAGATTGTAGACCTACACAAGGCTGGAATGGGCTACAAGACCATCGCCAAGCAGCTTGGTGAGAAGGTGACAACAGTTGGTGTGATTATTCGCAAATGGAAGAAACACAAAATAATTGTCAGTCTCCCTCCGTCTGGTGCTCCATGCAAGATCTTACCTCATGGAGTTTCAATGATCATGAGAACGGTGAAGAATCCACCCAGAACTACACGGGAGGATCTTGTTAATGATCTTAAGGCAGCTGGGACCATAGTCATCAAGAAAACAATTGGTAACACACTACGCCGTCAAGTACTGAAATCCTGCAGCGCCCGCAAGGTCCCCCTGCTCAAGAAAGCACATGTGCAGGCCTGTCTGAAGTTTGCCAATGAACATCTGAATGATTCAGAGGAGAACTGGGTGAAAGTGTTGTGGTCATATGAGACCAAAATCAAGCTCTTTGGCATCAACTCAATTGACCGTGTTTGGAGGAGGAGGAATGCTGCCCATGACCCCAAGAACACCATCCCCACTGTCAAAAATGGAAGTGGAAACATTATGCTTTGGGGGTATTTTCTGCTAAGGGGATAGGACAACTGCACTGCATCAAAGGGATGATGGACAGGGCCATGTACAGTCAAATCTTGGGTGAGAACCTCCTTCCCTCAGCCAGGGCATTGAAAATGGGTTGTGGATGGGTATTCCAGCATGACAATGACCCAAAAAAAAGAGCCACGGCAAAAAAAGAGTGGTTCAAGAAGAAGCACATCAAGGTCCTGGAGTGGCCTAGCCAGTCTCCAGATCTCAATCCCATAGAAAATCTGTGGAGGGAGCTAAAGATTCAAGTTGCCAAACATCAGCCTCAAAACCTTAATGACTTGGAGAGGATCTGCAAATAGGAGTGGAACAAAATCCCTCATGAGATGTGTGCAAACCTGGTGGCCAACTACAAGAAACATCTGACCTCTGTGATTGCCAACAAGGGTTTTGCCACCAAGTACTAAGTCGAAGGGGTCAAATACTTATTTCACTCATTGACATGCAAATCAATTGATAACTTTTTTGACATGCGTTTTTCTGGATTTCTTTTTTTTTTGTTATTCTGTCTCTCACTGTTAAAATACACCTACCATTATAAATATAGACTAATCTTTTCTTTGTCAGTGGGCAAACGTTCAAAATCAGCAGGGAATCAAATACTTTTTTCCCTCACTGTATGCCGAGATTCACTCTTGCCCAAATATTCACTTAATAGCCTGTTCTTCATTCTGTTATATGCATGATTCCTGTATTTTTGAATTGCCTTTAGCTGTTTTGATTTGTCTGACTACATTTGTGCATGCCACCTTGATCCTGTGACAATTACCTTTTAGCTTTACCACACAAAATTATATAAAAGATTACTTAAGCATTCCAGTGTCCAGCTGTTTATATGCTATTGAGTTGTTGGTAAAATGTATAAATTGGGTAGGTGTAGCTGCTGAAAAAAACTGTTTTGTATTTTGAAGCGTAAGCCTATATTTTGTTTTAGCATGTTTAGATAGAGTGATATTTGTTAAATGACACATTAGAAACTGTTGAAGAGATGTGATGTGTAAAAAGACACTGGGAAAATGTTTCTTATGCCTTCTTCTCATATATCCTCTCTCTCAGCTGGAAATGTATCTCTCATAATCCACGGATCATGCTCGCATGAACAAATCATCTTCACCACAAATAAGAGGAAGAGAGATAGTGGACAGTGAAGGACAGACACAACACATGAGACATATAGCTATTATCACTTAAGTGGTTTACATGGTGGTAAATCTATTTAAAGTCTTGAACATGTATGCTTAATGATTCAAGTCAAATCACTGCTCCACACCTCCTTTCTGTGTTGATTGAAAACATGCCAAGATCTTCTGGATACTTCTCCTGAAACATTCTACTGTGCAATCAACCCCCTTCCTCCCACACACATAGGTATACAGAAGCCCCATAAACAGGATTAACTCGCCCACATAGAAACCAACAGATGGCAATAAACAAACACTGTGACATGCATAGAAACACAACAAACAGCAAGCTTAGAAGTGAAAGAGATAAGTCATGAAACTGTTAAAATGTGTTAATAATGTCTTTTCTTAGCAAATCCAACCCTTGTCGCTTTAAAATATCATCCCCTCATCTTAATCCTTCACACTGCAGCTGATTACTGCCCCTTGTCATAAGAGAGATATTGACATTTGCCACTCTCCTGCTGTCATTTACATGCACTAAAATAGAAGCACTCAGTTTGTGAACTAAAGTGGTAGAGGTCACCATTCCTATTAATTACCAGTGCTTTTCTGCAACATAACATTTTAATTAATGATTCCATTTTCTCATAGTCCTACATTATGCTAAATTAGAAATAGAATTGTATATTTATAAATGGTCATTCAATGGTAAAGTTACTAAAGTATATATTTAGAATATGGTTACTTAATTATTTCAAAATCGGTTTTATAGTTTCTTAAATGTAAAAAAAACTAACAATTTTCAGGGTCTGTTTCATTATATAATATCTTAGAATAATGTTTCACTTTATAGGCGATCCCACCATAAGAGACAAGGTTTATACTACCTATATCATAGATACAAAAAGTGAGAATTAAACGTGAATTCAAAGCAAATTTAATAATTTAGACCAAAGTAGCTGAGCTGGAAGCGTAGCTGACTTTGACAGACAGACATTATTTTTTCCAATTCGGTTGTTTTGACCTTAAATGTAGAATTAACTTTCCCAAAACCTAACTGTATTGACTACAACTTTACAAGGGTCCAATGTTTCATTCACCTAAAGCTGCAGGATCGTGTATGAACCATATTACATTCTAGGTCAGGTTACCACCTACTCTAGAAGATTTTTTATACTATTATATTTACATTTTCAGAAAAACATCAGGAAAAGGGGACTTATTGATAAAAAAAAATATATGCATTGGTAAATGCAATTCACAACAAACCAAAGTATCTTATTTACAAATCCAAATAGCTAAACATATTTACTATAGTTCAAATAATCTAAGTTAGTTGGTGAAGCTTTGTTGTACACTGAAACACATCAATGATGTACATCTCCTAAGAAATAGGAACCCGCTGAGGATCCCATCTAAATAGGGGCAGTAGAGAAACATGCTCACCAGCCCCAGTTAAATCATCCCATACGTCTTATATTTGAAGTTTATTAATTGTAGCTTTAAAATATTTGGTATTAATATTTGGTATTAAATATTAAATTAAAATCCTTCAGTTACTTGCCAGACCTAAAACTTAAAGGGACACTCCACTGCCCAAATGCAAAACAAATAAAAATCACTGTTTAGTAGATATACTTACATATATTTAAATATGCACTTTATATTTGGTGCTTATTTACAAAACAGAATTACCTTTAATTTTCTTGGCAGCTATTGCAAACCCTCCCCTTCTAAGCCTACCCAGACTTTCTGTTGCTGTCCAATCACAGACTTTCCAATACAGCTCAATTAGAAGTCTTTGCAAGGCAGCTGCTCTGAGCAGTTTCTGCCTCTAAAGTTTAGCTCCACTGAGCTAACCAAGCCAGGATGTAATATGGCCTGTTTTCTGCTTGAAAGCCAAGGGGTATAACCATTTTAATTTATAAAAATTTACATTTCTATTGAAATCTGCACTTTTTGAAAATGGAAAAAAGAGGACACATTCTTGACACATAAAGCTTTTCAGCAAGCTAAAGTGTTTAGAGGTCTGAAGTGTCCCTTTCCTAATTATCTCAAGCATATTGACATAATTTTAATTTTTTATTTAACAAATACTCTTGGCAGACCTTTGTGTATGAATACAGAAGTGTGTATGTGTGAGAATGCTGGTATATGCAAGTATGTGGAATTGCAGGTGTAAGAGCATTTTTTTTCCCCACTCTACACACAAGCACACATTCTCCATGTCAGAAGTATATCCTATTCCCTTTCCTTTTTGCCAGTAGTAGATTATTTACCCCTCTACTTCTCATTTCCAGTAGTTGCCTATTTACCCTATCATCCCTACTCATTTCCAGTAAGAGCCCATTCTCTACCTCTCCTTCCCAGTAGTATTACTAGCACATTCTTACTCTTCCCTTGTCCAGTAGTAGCCCATCCCTGAGCCCAGTATTAGGTAATTCTGTCACATTTCCTGCCCAATAGTAACCCATTCTCTCCTCCCCTGCCTAGTAGAATTTTATTCTCCCCTCTTCGCCATTCAGTAGTTGCTCAATCTGCATCTTTCCCTGCTTAGTACTATCCCATTCTTCCAATGCTACTTCATCTGCCAGTAGTAGATTGATTTGCTACTCCCCTATTTCCAGTAAAAATAATTACCCCATTCTTCAGGCCATTTCCTTTTAAACAGATTGAGGCCCCCATTTTCCTTACCTTTCTGGTAGGAAATGTATAGCAATCTGAACGCAGCTGAACTAAGTATGCTCCATGTAATATAATCAGTGCAGCTGTGTACAGCTTGCACTGTTTGATGATGTCATGCATACTTACAGTGTGAGTCTCACAGAATTACATTGATTGGTGCCTGCTTCTTTCAACCAATAATCCAAAGCATTAATAGGGCTCATTTTGCAATTTCAAAACGTTTGTGTCCTGATGTAGTATACATAATATGATTATAATTGATTGCTTATTCTGCTTGTATATTTCTAAGTGTAAATATCTTCTCTCTGTCTAAGACATGGAGCATATTTTTTCTCAAGTTAAATTTAATATACTTTGCAGTTATTTTCTTATACACACAGATGCTCATGATGCATAATGTATTACATATCTTCCTAACTTATTTCCTTACACTTTGCTCCAGTACTAGTTTTCATCTTGTAGAGAAATAATCTTTCTCCCAGGATACAATTTTGCTGCTGTGAATCTCAGAAGATTAAATATAATTGGCAGTTTCCCTCCATCTCTTACATTCTAATGCAAACTTTGTAGGAACATTCTCTCATTCAGGGAAGGAGAAAAAAAGATGGACGAGGACTCTCAGCACAATCAATACATGGCAGGGATTTTTTATAAGACTGTAACTGTAGCCTGCAGTGTCCTATAGCACAGATGTAATTGTACTTACTGTACACAGGACAAGTGACCTAAAATGGTATATTTTAATTAGGCCCAAACCCCTTTAACCCCTTAAGTACCAAACTTCTGGAATAAAATGGGATCATGACATGTCACACATGTCATGTGTCCTTAAGGGGTTAAACCCTTAAATACCTTGAAAGGAGGGAAAACACCTCAGTTGTTACTTGTCTTGCAAGCATAATGGACACATAGCCGTTTTCTTTCACAGCAGGTGGAACAGCATGGGTTGTTGGACAGGGAGGCAATTGGAGCTGAAATATCTGGATTTTAGTTTCAGCTTCCAGGCATAATTCTCTGAGTGGGTGTCAATACGGGAGGGGAGCATGCTGGAGTTGCACAGCGTTACTGAAGCTGTCCCAAGAAGCGGCTGGTATGGTGGCATCTTTGGCACATAGGCACAGTATTTTGGAACACACATTCGGGTAGCTGTGCATTCCACTTTGCCTCTGTTGCTCTACTATAGACATGCAAAATGGAACCATGAATTTTGGCACCAAGATTTGAATTCAGCCAAACTATTTAAGGATGTATGTCAGATCAGGAGTACTGTGTCCACTAGCCCTTCCGCAAGCTCTGAGGTTTTTTTAAGGCAGGAGGCATGTCTGTATACTTTAAAAATGCTCTGGTAAGAATTATTTACATTTAATAATCATTACCTTTTAAATTTTTGGGCTATTTCCTGATGTCTAGTTGATTAAATAGATGTTAGACACAAAAAAAAACCTTTACCTCAGAAAAAAATAATGAGATGCAATAAGAAACCACTCTACTGAGGACAAAAACAACTATTTCTACAAGGAAGAAAGATTTCATCCCTTTTGTAAAGAACCAGATAACAGATTTTTGTAAAAACACACATCAGGCAGACATGACAAAAGGAGATAATTCTAACACCACAGGAAAAGTAGGATGCAGATCACAAAAAATGTATGACCAATGGAAAGAAACAGACAACCTATAGAGTTTAGAAACCATCCAGAATGGTTACAAAATAAGATTTACAGATAGACTGGCAGCTCATTTTTTTTGTCCTAGAACAAAAGATCTAGCACTCCTTTCAGAAACCTTCAAGCTCCTGGAGAAAAGAATTATAACATTTTACATTCAAAGAAGAACTGAGGGTTCTATTCCAAGTTATACTGGTGGAAAAAGTAGATGGAACCTTTTATCTAGTTGTAGATTTAAGATACTTTACATGCTTGGTCAAAAGATCGGGGCGATCTGGACAGAAGCATGATGGTCTCTTTAGATAACCTGTTTGTCACAGTGAGAGTGACATCTAGACATGGTCGCCCCAGAAGGGCCCAACAGGGGATTTGAACTTTGGACTCGTTCTGCCTTAGTCCTGCCTCTGGGCCACACTTCAGTTTTTGTTTCTGTCTATGCTCATCCTCACCTTGTCTCCATCACTTGGGTCTGGACTTTTCCTGTGGTTGTTCCTGTCTATCTAAGCCCACCTGAAGCAGATCATTATTAGCTGGGTATATAAGCACTGCCTCGCCCTGAGAACTTTGTCAGTTTGATGTTTCATGTTTCCTGTTCCTTATAGACTGACTTGGCTTGTGACCCCTGCTTCTGGATCTTCGTTATTGCCTGTTCGCTGCCTGCCCTGACCTTTGGAACCGTGTCTGACTACTCTTCTGGATTTGCCCTTGTCTGTACTGCGAATTGGAACACCTTTCATGCACAACCCCTGTGCACAGATTCACAGTCCTGGTGGTTTATAAGCTTATCACCTTGGACTGTGAGCCTACCTGACACTGTTACTACTAAACTAGTGTAAGAAATCCAGTTTCATAAGAGCAGGCTTATCTTTCAAACAAAAACAAGAGATGCCTCAGACATTGGATGTGGTGCTGCTCATATAGACTCTCACATGAAAATAGAATTTCAGAAGCAATCATCAAAGTTTAGAGAACTCCTACCAGTTTTTCTGGTGCTAAAGGCATTACACCATGACCGCGAGCACTACAATAACTATCCGGTTTATGTTTATATTTTAAATAAAATCTGTGTATTTTAAAATGATTATTTTATATATTTTACACGTTTCTATATATATTAAAAATCGCATTGTCAGATATGTGCTATACCACTAATTTATGCATAAATTATGACATCATTTTGGCGCCAATTTTGAAAATGTTAATGAACTGAAAGGTTATTTAAACCATTGTAAACCAGGTCTCTGTTTCTCATTGCCAATTGAAAAAGCCCTGTGTGGCGAAACGCGTTTTGGCTGTCTTATTTTATATTATCTTATATTTGATCAATAAAAGGATTACTGGCCTATATACCATTTTATTTTTTTTTTTATACTTGACCTATTTCTTTTACTTATAGTTTTTTGATTTTTCATCTTATTTATTTTTAATTATTAACTTTTGGACCTGGCTGTTATTATATATTATTACCTTACGTACAAGAATCCTAGGTGGGGATGATACCACCTACGCCATAAAAGTGAGCAGTATTTCCTGCTCACCCAAATGTGAGTATTTTATTTATATTTTATTTTTATATAATTACCACATTTATACAGTGAGCACTATCCTGTGTTATCCTCTTCTTTTCCGAGGATCTCTGCTATGTATATACGTCTATATCCCACCAGTGGGGGACCAGTACCACTGAATGCGAAACATACCCGAGCTAGTTCTAGCTCTAATATAGGTGAGTGTGATACTTTCTCACTTTGAACTTCCACAAAGAAGCAGTAAATACATTCTACACTATTGGATTTCTTCTGTTTTCTTTTGCATATTGGCACCTGGAACAAGACGTCACATCCATTTCTCAATTCAATCAGGACTGTTCCTTTCCTGTAATCGGATGTGATTATTCCCTGCTTATTTTAGGACTGTTTATTACTTTTCCTTTGTATGTACTGCTATTTGTAAGTACTTACCACATTATTTATATGTGTTTTATTTTTTTTATACGAAGAGATTTTAGTTTTCATTTATTGTAAAATTATCTGTTTTATCCTGCTACATCCAATTTTTGGCGCAACCTTATATCTCCATTAGATTACACCAAGATATTCACCTCAAATCTGTACAAATACAATCAGAGAACATCATAGCAGTATTGTACATCAATAGACAGGGAGGTAAAAGAGTAAAAATCCTTTTTAGAATTATGTCAACAAATCTTCTTTTGTGCAGAAAAATTTCTTGGACATCACAGCCATTAATATCAGAGGGATAGATATCTTTGCAGACAATCTGAGCAGAGGCAGGGAGAGACAAGCTGAATGGTCCATCAGCATAGAAGTATTCAACATGTTTGCAAAAACATTTGGCATACTCAAAATAGGCGCAATAGCCACCAGACAAAACAGAATGAGAAGAAAACTTAAAGGTAAATAGATGAAGCACTGGCTCCAAAAATGGCAGCAAACTCTGCTACTTGGATACCCTAACAATCCAAAGACATATAGTGAAAAGAAAGAAAACAGGATGCACCAAATAACTAGACTGTACTGATATTGCTAAGGAATACAGTTGTATGCAAGTAGTAGTAGTAACAATCTATAATTGCAAAGAATGTGCTTGGAAAAACAATAAGAAAGTCCTTGATAACGGTGGTAGTTGTAGTAGGTAGTTCACTGTATTTCACTGATTTTTAAGATAGGTTCCAAGATATGAAAAAATAAATAACAGAGAGAGGAGGCGGGGCTTCTGGTTCACGGACACAGTCGCATGTCGGAGTAGCTCCGTTACCGCCGGGGCCACAAAGCGACTAAATTAAGCTGATTGCTGTTCCTAGACTGCTGTAGCTCAGCATTAGGTGTGGGAGATCTCACCCGTAGCAGCATGGCGCCTCCAAAAGCCCAGCGTGCCCGGATTTCTTCCAACAAGGAGGAAAAAAAACAGGCTGAGGCCTGAACAACATGACGGTGGCTGCCGCTCTCCAGCACAAGTGTCAGAAGCTGGATGCGACGCAGACACCTACAGAGGAACTATCCATCTCAGAAACAAAGTTGGCAGCTATGCTGCTGGGGTTGCATTCATCCATGAGGGCAGACCTCCAGACTGCTGTTGAAGACATATGGAAGGAGGTACATGATATTGGTGTGCGTACCAATGTACAAAACTAATATAGACATCATGGCTGACAGGTAGCTGTTTTGCCTAGGCACTCCACATCCCTCCCCTAATGCCTGTAAATTCAGTGCATTGAAAACCCAGGCCACCTAAGACCTTTCCCACCCCATCCAC